CTGTGCATCTTTAAGGTTTTTAATTTGCTCTCGAGGTCTTGGAATTCAGCATTATGGGCATTGACCACGGTGATGGTGTCCTCCATTTTATTTTTAATTTCATGAGTGCGCATTGCCAGATCAGTCAGGCCTTCATTGAGAGGCTGCAACTGTTTATGGAGTTCTTCTGTGACGTGTGCACAAAATTTACGAGGGAATCCCCTCATGTCTCTCCTGGTAAGTTGAGCGTCTAGGTTCTTCTCTTGCCCTTCGAGTCGGAGTGTGATGCGCAACGTGTCTTCGTTTGGGCCTTGTCTGATCGGGCACAAAAGATAGGCCCCACAGTCGATTGCCGGGACTTCCAGCCTCCCCCCATCTTGCAAATGGCACCGTGGATGCTGAGAGACGTTACAGTGAGTGAAGGTTGGGGATAAGCTGCTGCTCGCTGTGTGTTTTGGCTCGGAATTAAGCGCCCATTTTCCAAGAGAGTCAAGCTCCGCCTCAGCAGAATGTATTTTGTGCTACACAAACTTAATGAAAAAAAAAAAAAATAATAATTTTAGGAATATATTTTAAAAACGGAGTATGAAATTGGAATTCCATTATGTCTGATTTATGTCACCTTTTTCTTTCTTCCTCCAGGTTGGTTGGTTTCCATCCACATACGTAGAAGAAGATGATTGAGTGCAATATAGAGTAATTGCAGAGTACGACACTGAATAGGAGATCCAGAAGCTGGAGAATATGTGCATTTCAAAATATTCTGCTTACAACAGAAGAACATGTCAGAAGGCTATTGTCACTGCATTTTACTGTATACATTGATAGTGCAGACCTCAAAGCTGCCATAGAACTCATGAACATAAATTGCAGCTTTGGTCAACAGGTGATCAAGAGGTCTTTAAGAACAGTGGTGTATCTGAGCCGCGATCAAAGATACAATTCTCTTGTAGCCAGGGTTGTCTGAGTCTGCCATAGTCCCATTTTAAACATGCAGTGCAATTGAAGACAATACTCTTATCCTAGACAGTCTGCTATTATCTTGCCTACCTAATGCTATCTGCGATATTCTGATGCCATCTTTGCTAAATACCAAGACTTTTTCAATGCATCCAGCAGATCTTAGCTGCAGAACTGGTACACCAGAAACACACTGCCATTTCACTAATTGTTTGAAATCTTCAACTGTAAAATTACAAGTGGAAAATATTTTGTGAAGTATATTTAATTCTATGTTTATGTTGTACAAAAACACTTATTTTCCCCCAATTTTAGTAATAAATGTACATTTTAATCCTGCTTTTTAATTTACCGCCACTTCTAAAGAGACAAAAAAAGTTTTAGTTTGGATCATGATCCCTCTGAGATAGGTATTCAAGTCTGATAACCCTTGTTCTTTTTGCACTGATATTTTCTATATCCTGTTTGATGTCATTTTAAAAACATTACATTCAATGGGCTTTCTGTATGGACAGGCATATGTGCACATTATATTACTCTCTTTAAAGTCCAAAGAGAAAAGTAAACAGTAAGGTCAGGTCTGTAAATGGCTATTGATTCAATTGAAAACGTCAGCTGTAAAACTGCTAGAAAACAAGTTTAAAAAGTATGCATATATACGCAGTAATCGTAATCATGAATTATGATGAACCTGCAAATTTCAATCACAGTGCGATATAGATGAAGAGTTTGCATTTCCACATTTAATAATATTTGCTTGTAACATACGAATTCTGTACAGTCTATGGAATCATGTCAGTGTTGAAATGTTAAAGAGTTCTATATTTTTAAGTGTCCATATAATTTGAGTAATGTCTTACGTAGCCAAGGTTTTGCAGGGTTCTTGTTTCAATGTCCTGCGTGTTGAAACCCTGCAAAGTTCCTGATGCGTGTTCAGTGTTAGCTTTCTGTGTATGCTCATTGCACCTTGTTCTATAGATACATTTATAAAAAGAAGAAAGGATGAAATGTATTTGTCTCATTTTACTGTGCAAACCAAAAACCATAAGCCTATTGCTTAATAAATTGTTCCCTACTTCTTCATAAGTCCACTTGTTTTACCTCTTCGAATGGTGTATTCAGACATTTTAATCTCATCCTTCTTTTCAATGTATTTTTATTGAACAATTTTGAATTTAAGTCTTGTCTTATTTGTATTATTGTAGCAAAAAAAAATCCACAATAAGTATTCAAATTAAAACCTAAAATGTTGCAACTGGCCCCTCCCCATTGACCACCCACTAAATAAAATTGTTCCTGTTTGATCAGTTGCAATGTTGAAAGGTATAAAGCAGAGTCGGTAGTTCTGTCTATAGAATAATGTGCATATACTGACCAATCATGAGAATTATTCTTGATTTAACCCCTTAATGCCGTTACGGAGTTCTATGCCGTCCCCATAATAATAGGATTTAAAGCCGTTGCACCGGCATAGAACGCCGTAATGGCTTTATACCCCAGGAGCTCTGGTGGACTTACCTCCACCGCGATCCTCTTCGGGAGGACTGCCTGACAGCCCAGGCAGCCCTCCTCCAGCAAAACAGACCACTGGGGGCCATGTGATCAAAGAGCGATCACATGGCCCCCTATAGCTAGCTGTCGATCTGCCAGCAGGAAGACTGTCTGGGCTGTCAGACAGTCCCCCTGCTGGTGGGTAGAGTAAAAAAAAAATATTAAACATGTTTAAAATAAATTAAATGTGTATATATATATATATGTATATGTATGTATGTATATATATATACACCGTATTTTTCTCTCCATAAGACGCACTTTTTTTCCCCTCAAAAATGAGGAGAAATGTCTGTGCGTCTTATGGAGCGAATGTGAAGCTTTACTTACCTGTCTTGTAGCATGGGCCGGCAGCACAGCGCGCTCTGCGGTACAGGAACTTCAATTTCAGGTTCCGGTTTCCGGCAGGACTGAAAGGAAGTGCACACACTTCCTTTCAGTCCCGCCGGAAACCGGAACCTGAAATTGAAGTTCCTGTACCGCGGAGCGCGCTGTGAAGCCGGCCCACGCTACAAGACAGGTAAGTAATTATGGGACAAGGAGAGGGTGGGACACTATGGGACAAGGAGAGGGTGGGACACTATGGGACAAGGGGGGGGACACAATGGGACAAGGAGAGGGTGGGACACTATGGGACAAGGGGAGGGGGGACACAATGGGACAAGGGGAGGGGGACACTATGGGACAAGGGGAGGGGTGGACACTATGGGAGGGAAAGTGCACCATGGGACAAGGGGGGACACTAGGGGGAACACTATGGGATGAGAACACTATTGGACAAGGGGAGGAGGGATTAACAATCACTATGGGACAGAGGAAAGGGGGGTTAAAATAATTATGGGACAGGGGAGGGGGGTTTAAAGATAACTATGGGACAGGGGAGGGGGGTTAAAGATCATTATGGGACAGGAGAGGGGAGTGGGTGGAAAGGAACAAAAAATTCCTTAAAAAAAAAAATATTCTGAACAAACTGTCCCATAGTAAGAAACACTATGGAACAGTTCAGAATATTTTTTTTTCTGGGCTTCCTCCTCTAAAAACTAGGTGCGTCTTATGGTGAGGTGCGTCTTATGGAGCGAAAAATACGGTACATTATATATATATATATATGTATCGTAATACGTAGTGTATTTTAATATTAATATAAAGTACATATATTAGTATTAAAATAGACTTAGCATGAAGTTACATATATATATATAAGAAAAATATATATATATACACACACAATATATATAATATATATATATATATATATATTATATTTATAATATATATATGTATAATTACAATAATAAACTAGAAAAGTTAAAATTTCTGGGGAAATTGTGTGAAGTGTTCTTGCCTCCACCAGTAGTCTACAACTGGAGTGGGCGGAGTAACTGTTATTATTTATTTATATAGCACATTTAATTGCAACGTTGTTGCCCAAAGTGCTTCACAGTTACATTAAAACATACATTTATAAAAACATTAGCAGGTGTACAAACGGCCCTGTCTATGACATCACTTGCTGCTCCAGCCTGGCACAGGTCAGAGTATTTTGGCGGTTGCTATCTTCAGACGGTCGTATTTTAAAAACTATACATCCTACAGCGAAGAGCTTTATATTGTGAGACTCACAAGACCCAGGCCTACATTTTGATGCATAGTATGTCTCCTAAGTATTAAAAATGGAGGCACAGTCGCAGTTTAGAAATTGTCCTTCAAGTTTGAGCTGGCTGGAGTGAAGTTTCAATGGATGGCGTGAGTTGCAAACAAATGGTCATATTGTGAAAACTATCTGGACTATGGCTTAGCCATGGCAGCAGGGATAGCTGAACGTTTTGATATAAGATTTGTGTAGTTTAGAAATCATGTCCTGATTTTTCAGCTTTTGCCAGCTCCTACTCTAGTTTTGAACATTTTGCCATTCATTCCTATGGGACCAATTTCACCACAACGACGATATTCTGTGAACCATTCGGCGAAACGTTCCACAAAGTAATAGCAATCCAATTGGGAACAATCCGCACGTTTCGGTATATTACTTTCTATTTAGTGTAAAAACTGTGGGAGGAGTTAGGGTGGTAAATGTGGCTATAATAAGAAAAAAAATAATATATATTTGAGATAACATTAAGTGGTCTTGCTATGCAAGAACACTTAAATAAAATAATAAAATAAATAAATTTTTACATTTTAAATAAATTATATATACATATGTAATTTAATTCTAACTTTGTTATTAATATATATATATATATATATTGGTAACAAAATACATTTAGAATGACATTCTATCTATATATATATATATATCTTATCTATATAAAATAAAAACTGCAAATCTATCTATATATATATAGATACAGTTGCAAGAAAAAGTATGTGAACCCTTTGGAATGATATGGATTTCTGCACAAATTGGTCATAAAAAGTGATCTGATCATCATCTAAGTCACAACAATAGACAATCACAGTGTGCTTAAACTAATAACACACAAAGAATGAAATGTTGTCATGTTATTATTGAACACACCATGTAAACATTCACAGTGCAGGCGGAAAAAGTATGTGAACCCTTGAATTTAATAACTGGTTGAACCTCCTTTGGCAGCAATAACTTCAACCAAACGTTTCCTGTAGTTGCAGATCAGACGTGCACAACGGTCAGGAGTAATTCTTGACCATTCCTCTTTACAGAACTGTTTCAGTTCAGTAATATTCTTGGGATGTCTGGTGTGAATTGCTTTCTTGAGGTCATGCCACAGCATCTCAATCGGGTTGAGGTCAGGACTCTGACTGGGCCACTTCAGAAGGCGTATTTTCTTCTGTTTAAGCCATTCTGTTGTTGATTTACTTCTATGCTTTGGGTCATTGTCCTGTTGCAACACCCATCTTCTGTTGAGCTTCAGCTGGTAGACAGATGGCCTTAAGTTCTCCTGCAAAATGTCTTGATAAACTTGGGAATTCATTTTTCCTTCGATGATAGCAATCCGTCCAGGCCCTGACGCAGCAAAGCAGCCCCAAACCATGATGCCCCCACCACCATACTTTACAGTTGGGATGAGGTTTTGATGTTGGTGTGCTGTGCCTTTTTTTCGCCACACATAGTGTTGTGTGTTTCTTCCAAACAACTCAACTTTGGTTTCATCTGTCCACAGAATATTTTGCCAGTACTGCTGTGGAACATCCAGGTGCTCTTGTGCAAACTGTAAACATGCAGCAATGTTTTGTTTGGACAGCAGTGGCTTCCTCTGTGGTATCCTCCCATGAAATCCATTCTTGTTTAGTGTTTTACGTATTGTAGATTCGCTAACAGGGATGTTAGCATTTGCCAGTGACTTTTGTAAGTCTTTAGCTGACACTCTAGGATTCTTCTTCACCTCATTGAGCAGTCTGCGCTGTGCTCTTGCAGTCATCTTTACAGGACGGCCACTCCTAGGGAGAGTAGCAGCAGTGCTGAACTTTCTCCATTTATAGACAATTTGTCTTACCGTGGACTGATGAACAGCAAGGCTTTTGGAGATACTTTTATAACCCTTTCCAGCTTTATGCAAGTCAACAATTCTTAATCGTAGGTCTTCTGAGAGCTCTTTTGTGCGAGGCATCATTCACATCAGGCAATGCTTCTTGTGAAAAGCAAACCCAGAACTGGTGTGTGTTTCTTATAGGGCAGGGCAGCTGTAACCAACACCTCCAATCTCATCTCATTGATTGGACTCCAGTTGGCTGACATCTCACTCCAATTAGCTCTTGGAGATGTCATTAGTCTAGGGGTTCACATACTTTTTCCACCTGCACTGTGAATGTTTACATGCTGTGTTCAATAAAAACATGGCAACATTTCATTCTTTGTGTGTTGTTAGTTTAAGCAGACTGTGAGTGTCTATTGTTGTGACTTAGATGATGATCAGATCACATTTTATGACCAATTTGTGCAGAAATCCATATCATTCCAAAGGGTTCAAAAACTTTTTCTTTCAACTGTATATATATATATAGATATATATAATTACATAAGTATACACGTAGAATTTAAATACATATATATGTATATATATTAACATTCTACGTATATATTTAAGTAATCTTTTAACATAATTATGTGATTTAATTAATTAAAATTTGATTGACGTACCTGACAACCCAGGCAGAAAGTGCAGATAATTTAATTTAATTATATTTAACCCTGTAACTTTCCAAGACACCATAAAACCTGTACATGGGGGGTACTGTTTTCCTCAGGAGACTTCACTAAACACCAGTATTATTGATTCAAAATGATAAGTTGTATTACAACTATGTTATTTTCAGTAAAAGTGCAGTTTTTTGCATTTTTCACATGCGAACAGCACTTTTACGGACGATATTATTGTTGTAATATGTTTTAATGTTTTGAAACACTTATGTTTGTGTTCAGAGAAGTCTCCCAAGTATAACAGTACCCCCCATGTACAGGTTTTATGGTGTTTTGGAAAGTTAGAGAGTCAAATATAAGGCTTGCATTTAATTTTTTTTACATTGAAATGTGCCAATTTGGTAATGTTGCCTTTGAGACCGTATGGTAGCCCAGGAATGAGAATTACCCCCATGATGGCATACCATTTGCAAAAGTAGACAACCCAAGGTATTGCAAATGGGGTATGTCCAGTCATTTTTAGTAGGCACTTAGTCACAAGGACTTAAGTTTGTTGTTGTTTTGTAGTTAACGAGCCAGAGGGGTGGTCATTGTTCGGTCAGTTGCAGTTATCGAATGGAGGAACAGTAGTTTGGGTTCAGGGAAAATTGTGAAACAAAATAGGGGGAACTTCTTAGAAACTGAGAAACAGTGAATTGATCACATCGCTCCCCCCAGTTCCATGGAACAGCATACCTGCCTATACCCCAAATGGGTCGGCTTGGGGATCTCCAGGGAAGACGTAGTTATTTCTCAAGTTCAGTTTGCCAGGACAACCCATATGCGTTGGCATTTTTTTTTCCTGCATGGTGAGGTTGTAGAGCTACAGGGCCAAGCTCCATCGTAAAAGCCTTGGGTTGTCTCCGGCCACTCTGTTGAGCCAAATTAGGGGGTTGTGGTCGGTCATGATGGTGTGGGATCATCCGTATAGATAGGACTGCAATTTCTTTAGTGCCTATACTAGGGCTAAACACTCCTTCTCCATGGTGGCATAACGGACTTCCTGGGTGTGACAAAAGTAACTTCGCCACTGGCTTTTGGAGGTGCCTGTTTGCCAGCCTCCTACCCTGTGACTATGGCCCCTGTAATAGACCTGGCTAAAATACTTTAAAAGGCTCTGTTCATGTGAAGTATGTACTTTTGTACTCCAGAAAGAGAGACTGACCGTTAGCACTAATTCTCTTGAACTGTTTTGGGCATGGGACCATATGCACGGTCGGTCAAAAATAAGACTTCCAGGAAATTCCTGAACCCCTGAACTGATCTGGGTGATTTTTAGATATGTTGGTCCCCCGGATCAGGGCTATCAGGGGATGTATCATTTGTGGGGTTTTTCCCCCTGTGGGCATACCCCTTGAATGGGGATTGTCATATAAGGCTAAGTGTGGCTCCCATTAAAGAGAGATTTGTTTACCCCTTCATGAAGTCGTGTTTGGGGGATTGGAGAACTGCATTGATGCTGGGGATTGCTATATCACAATACTCCCCTGAGTATAATCACTAGCTCTTATAAGAGCTGTTCCTGCTACGCTCTCTGGACTAGGAGAGGTCTACTCACAGGAAGCTGGATCCTGGTGTTGGGTCCAGGGTGGGTGGAGGATGGCAAGACCCCAACCAAGCTGCGGTGGTTTGTGAGGTTTACGGTTGTTATGGTGTTCCAGTACAGTGCTTATGGTGCTCGCAAGTACTAGGAAGCAGTGATTGATGGAGGTACCCGGTCGGGGTGACAGGTGGTCCGTCACACTTCAGATATGCCACCATGTGTTCCATGCCTTCTTCCCCCACCTGGCTTAGTACCGCTCCAAGTCCAGACATAGTGGCATCTGTATGAACGAGAAATCTTTTAGCATGCAGCTAATACAGACGCCTCACTTAATACCGTTTTCAGCAGTTGGAAGGATTCCTCGCACTCTGGGGACCATACAATCTGCCTGAGTAAGGACTTTTTGGTGAGATCGGTAAGGGACTTGGCTACCATACTATAAATCAGGGACAAACCTACGATAATATCCGGATGTTCCCAAGAAGGCCATTACCTGGGTTTTGTTACAGGGTTGGAGCAACTGGGCCACTGCCTCGATCTTGGAAGGTTTGGGGCGCTATGTGCCTGACCCCACTCGGTGACCAAGGTACTGGACCTCAGCCATTCCAACATGGCTTTTGTCGGGTTTAAGGTCAGACCGGTGGCCTGAATTCTGTTGAGCACTACAGATATGTGTTCAAGGTGGGTTTCCCATGTGCGGCTTAATATGGCAAATTCATAAAGATGCGCACATGCAAAATCCTGACAGCCCTCCAAGAGCGGGAGCATTCTTCATCCCAAACAGGATTACGTTGAACTGGTATAGGTTGAATGGGGTGACAAATGCGGACTTAGTAATGGCCTCAGGCTCCAGTTGGATCTGCCAATACCCCTTACACAAATCTATAGTGGTCAAGTAATTCCTTGCTGCCATGCGGTCTAACAACTCATCCACCCGGGGCATTGGGTAGGTGTCTGTAATGGATCAATTATTTAGCTTGCGATAGTCGATGCAGAAGTGGGTCGTACCATACCATTGTACCAGAACTACAAGGGAAGCCCAAGGACTCTGGGAGTGTTCTATCACTCAGAGTTCTAGTGTCTCCTGTATTTCTTTATGCATACTCTCCCGAATGGCTTCGGGGATACGATATGGTAGCTGCCTGATAGGTATCTGACCTGGGGTCTCCACACTGTGTACCGCCAGTGTCGTGTACCTTGGTAGTGCAGAAAACATTTTGTGATATTCCCCTAACAGTTAGGAGGCTTGCTGTCTCTCAGAGGGGCTTAATTCTGCCCCCAGACTAACCTGATCAACACCAGAAAGGTGGTGGGGAGCAGATCAGGTAAGGGGATGCTTTCGCTGTCTTCAAAAGCTTGGGGGCATAATACCGCTACCTCCTCTGGTCTTTCCAGATAAGGTTTGAGCATATTCGCATGAAAGGATTTTCTTATTCTTTCATCTGAACATTTTACTACTACATAGGTGGTATCACTTATGCATTCCACCACCCGGAAAGGCCCTTGCCATTTGGCTTGGAGCTTGCCAACTTTAGTGGATCTAAGGGCTAGAACTTTCTGTCCAAGTTATAGGATACGGTCCCTAGCTCTCCGATCGTACCATCATTTCTGGTGCTGCTGGGCCGCCCGCAGGTTCTCCTGAACGGACTCAGTTAGAGCCTGCAGATGGTCCCGCAATTCCAGGACATATGGCACTATAGGGGTGCCTTCCTCCCCAGTATCCCCCTCCTAATGCTTGCGGACAAGGTCCAGGGGCCCACATACTTTCCGCCCATACAATAATTCAAAGGGGGAGAATCTGGTGGACTCCTGGGGAACATCTCTATATATGCAAACAACAGATGAGGTAGAAACGTTTCCCAGTTTTGACAGAAAGCTGTGAAGGTTTGTAGCATCTGCTTGAGGGTGCCGTTGAATTGGTCACAGAGTCCGTTCATCTAGGGATGATACGGAGAGCTTTATATGCCAGAGCTGTTGGGTAAATGCAGCCTTAAATTGTGTCCCCTGGTCAGATACGATTTCAC